TCGATCCTCAGATCTCAGCCTCCTGAGTAGCTAGCCTTACAGGTGTGAGCCACCGGTGCCCGGCTTTTGCCTGTTTTTTAAAAATGAGTTATTTATAATTCCCTGGCTAAGGTTCCCAGGGTGCCCAGGTTGCCTCAGCTTTGCCCCTGAGCGTCCTGGTCTGGACGACAGACCTTGTTGTGCCCCTCTGGCTGTGCCTCCCAGAGCAGCTTCTGTACAGGGTAGCGTGCTGTAACAGACCCTTGCTTCCGTGGACTTTGGGTGCCCTGAGTGACTGTGGCATTCCCAAAGGTTACATTGTTCCTGAGCTACTTCTTCTGTGAGGCTCAAGCATTAAGTAGAGAAAGAGGCTAAGTGACCTGCAGACCCTTGGCTGTCTGTGGACAGGGCAGGTGGCACAGGCTTATTAGAGCCTGTTGCCTCCTAGTGAAGTCCCTGCTCCCTGAGACTCCTTGTACCCTAGAGAAGAAGCTGTTTACAGTGTGTGTAGGTATAAAAGGGGGATAGAGGTTAAAGTTTTTGTCCAGAGCATGTCATCCTGGGGTGGTGTGGATGACGGTCCTTCATTTAAATTGCACACCTTCCTTCCTGGTATTTCCCAAGATTTCATAGGTTATCAGTCCATGAGTCAGCATGTTTATTTACTGTTCTCATTAATTCTTTCAGTGTTGTGTGAAATTCTTACTCTACATGTGGAAACTTGTTTTTACCTAGGAACTTAGCCTGTGAGTAGACCAACATTGGTTTACTGGAAGGTAGCAGGTCGTTATCATAGCAAAACCAAATATACATATAGGATATCTAAAATTAAAATTTTAGATATATAGGATACAGTTTTTTTAAAAACTGAAACTTGGTTTGTTTACCAACGGCAAGTTGCCTTGAAGATTCTCTTCTGAACCAGGTTTGTACCTGACCTGGTGTCCTCCCAGCAATAGATGGTTTTTTATATGTGTGCATGTGTGTGTGTGTGTTTATGAAAAACCACAGGCTTTTAAGGTTGGTGGCATGCTTCTGATATCTAACAGGCTAAGTTGGTGCTTCTTGTGTGCTGTATGAAGAGACTGCTAGGGTTCCCCAGTTCTTTTGTATAGCCTTAGGAAGGCCTGGCTTTCTCTTGCCAGCATATTTTCATGATGCTGTTTTATTTCTGGTACTAGATTTCTTCTGGGCTAGACAAATATTCCAGGCAGTGACCCTCCGGAGGGGTCTCAGCTGGTCATGTCTTTGGCAATAGCCGATTCTGCTCTAGGCTCTTATGTGACTTCTGCAGCTGGTTAGCAGGCCAGGAGGTCACAGAGAGCCTCCTCTGTGCCCAGCCACCCCCATCCCTGTTGTAGGCATGGTCTTTTGGGGGGCAAATCCCTTGTTCTACACTCCTGATTGGAAGCTAGTGGTCTGGGAATCTCATGCATTTGATGGGACCCTGGAGGAAGTTTGTAATTTGGGCTCTGATCATCACTTTAGTTTCAAGACCCACTGAGTGCTTTGAGATTAATGGTCACCATGGATGTTCGTTGTCACCTAACTTGCAGCCTTCTTGAGTAAAACACTGCTTTCAGTTCAGTGGAGTGTTACAGGTTGTTGGCACAATGAACTGGTTCAAGCCTGTGGTGGCTAGGCTGCCCACTGACCTGTGCTTCCTTCTCTTTCAGGGTTGGTACATCGTGACCTACGCATTGGGAATCTACCACCTAAATCTCTTCATTGCGTTCCTTTCTCCCAAAGTGGATCCTTCCTTAATGGAAGATTCAGGTAGATATGAGACTGTGTGAGGCACTGTTTGGGTAGTATTGTGCCTCCTTATCCCTCTTGTATAGCCGTCTGTGCTGGGCTCACAGTGTTCATGAGTACTTGTCATGTCAGGAATAGTGTATGTTTGTCCATGTAGACCACTTCATGAGTTCCTGTGTAGCTGGGAAGGGCTCATTGCTCATTCTGTCCTCCATTTTGCAGTTGAGGAAACCGAGGCACCTGGGGTTTTGTCATATATCCCAGGTCACGTAACAGAGTGTGGGACTGACAGCATGGACGAGCCGCCCTCCCAGACCTGCCTCTTACGCACACAGCTTGTTCTGGTGGTGCTTCGGGACTTCCTGTGGGGAAGAAGCCCTCTGTGCTCAGCATGACCATCTGTTGAGGGTAGCGGGCACTCCTTGGTTTCTGAGGAGTTGAAATATTCTTGGCATGTCCTTGTGCTACACATATGAGGTTCACATGGCTCTGGTCGAACGTGGGCCTGTGTGGGGTGGGTAATGGCTGAGGCCTTCTACCCAGATGTACCTGCTCCTTGTGATTGGAAGCCAGCAGGTGGCCTGCCACAGAGTCTGCCTTGTTAGGAGGTGGTCCAATCCAGTTTTCTGGGGCTTGAACTCAGGGCCTGGGCACTGTCTCTGAGCCTTTCTCTGCTCAAGGCTAGAGCTCTACCACTTGAGCCCCAGCACCACTTCTGGCTTTTTCTGTGTATGTAGTACTGAGGAACTGAACCCAGAGCTTCTTGCATGCAAGGCAAGCACTCTACCACTAAGCTACATTCCCAGCTTCCAAGCAATTTTCAACATGGTGACTAGTACCTGTGACCTTCCTCTAGAGTCAGCACCTTTCATTACATGTCACTGTTTCGGAGGCTAGACAGTAACTAAGACCCTTTTCTGTAGGCTTTGATTTCTGAATCTGAAAATGGGGAGAGGTTAAGAGGAGCAGAGACCTGGTCCTAAGGAGCTGTGGGTGCATGAGGCTGTGTTGGTACCACACTGTTCTTTTGGACACAGCCTTGTATTCTCTTCTCTATGTGGTCTAAACTGGTGTTGAACTTGGGATCCTCCTGCCTCTTTGAGTGCTGAGATCACAGGCATGTACCACCATACCCAGTCTGCACCACCATGCTAGGTCTGCGTTCTTTTTCGTCTAGTCCTGGAGCATGAACTCAGGGCCTGGGTACTGTCTGAGCTTTTGTGCTCAAGGCTAGTGCTCTTACCACTTGAGCCACAGTTCCAGTTTTGTTGTTTTGGCAGTTTATTAGTTTATTGAAGGTAAGAATCTCACTGATTTTCCTGCCCAGGCTGGCTTCAAACTGCACTCTTCATATCTCAGTCTCCTGAATAGCAAGGATTACAGCCATGAGCTGCATTCTCTCTTTACTATTTGTTTTGTGTAAGTGGCAAATTTGCCCTTGTTTTCTTCTAGTACAGTTGATGAAAACTCTGGGAGACTGACTTTTTTCATCCATTTAAACTGTGTAGAAATCCTCTCAGAGTCCAAATTGAATCCTCTGAAGCATGCCCTTTTTACTAGGTTGGCTGCTTTTTTCTTCAGTTAGGTGATAAGACACCTGAATTTCCCTCAGTGAGGCTTGGGGTGAAAGGCTTCAGGGAAAACTTCTGAATGTGGTAATAGAAATGAACGTATGAGGCAGCAGGTGCATTATCTCCACTTGTTCTGCCTTTCAGATGACGGCCCTTCATTACCAACCAAACAGAATGAGGAATTCCGTCCCTTCATTAGAAGGCTTCCAGAGTTTAAGTTTTGGTGAGCTATTTTTTTTCCTAGTAAACTTAAAAAAAAAAAACAAACCTTAACCCTTTTATTTGACATAGTAATTGTGCATGTATGAGGGCACGGTGTGACACGTCAGTACCTGTACACGGCAACTGGCGTGGCCATCGCTGTAGACACGTATCACTGCTTTGTGTGGAAACATACAATCCTCTCAGCCATTCCAAAATAGAGAGTGAATTGTCCACCAGTTACCCTCCTGTGTTGTCATTTCTTCCTGTCCACTCACGCCTTTAGTTCTTAAAGGTGTAAGTAAAGATACTATGCTCGAGTATGGCCAGGGAGACTGTAAAAACTAACTTCTGTTGTAGTTGGCCAGCAACTTAGACTTTAGCAAATGAGTTTGTTGTGCTTTGCTTGTGACATTCATCCATAAGGTGACAGCTGGGCATGAGAGTGAGGAGACTACCACTTAGAAGTATTGTCCAGGCTGTGTTGGCACAGTGGTCTGAAGCTAGCAGATGAGAGGTTGGCTCCGGGGTGGAGGGTGCTGGCATCCTGAGGACTTGGGCCCCAGCGATTCTGTTTGGGCAGCTGCCTTCTAGGCCCTGTTGCCCGTGACTGGCAGATGTGAGCCAGCTTTCGCCTGGCTGTGTCTTGAGATGGCCCTGCGAGAAGGTGTTTGTGGTGGGCCAGGGTCCACCCTCAGGGTTTGGACCTAAGACAAGAGACAGGGACGTGGGCTGGGTAGATGGAGTTCTTGTGTGTCCGTGTATGACTCACCTACTGTCCTGTCTCTGGTGATACTCAGCTCTGTGGCACAGGAGGAGCCAGTCTGTTGGGTAAATAAAATTGAACAAACTGTTCTTCAATCTATAGGCCTTTACTCCGCAGCCCTGCTGTGTAATGTTGGAACATGGGGGGACAGGTAGAGGAGAGGGAGCAGAAAGTAGGCAAGGCCCAGAAACCCTGGAATCCCTCAGGGAACCTGGATTTGTTCTGTAGGAAAGGGAGAGGCAGGAGCAGGTGCTGGTGGGTGGGCACCACTTTGCCCTAGGCTCCCACTGTTGGCCATGGGCCTTTGTGCTGCTCCAGGCCAGAGCAAGCAGCAAGCACGGTGTGTCCGGCTTCAGCATCGCTGCTGTGTTTGTGAATGTGTGGGAAGTCAGCTCCAGGAGACTGAGAGAAGGCCGTGGCTGTGCTTAATTGTGGCACATTCACAGACAACACACACAGGTCCCATGCAGCTCCTGGGCAGGGAGCTGTCTCTGCGGATGCCCATGTGCGAGCTGAAGCACGAGCAGCTGTGGAGGCCGGTGGAGGTCCGCAGATGCTGGCTGCTAACCTGTGTCCTTGCTTTAAGGCACGCGGCTACCAAGGGCATCCTCGTGGCTATGGTGTGTACCTTCTTCGAGGCATTCAACGTCCCAGTGTTCTGGCCAATCCTGGTGATGTACTTCATCATGCTTTTCTGTATCACAATGAAGAGGCAAATAAAGGTAACGACATCAGCGCTGTGCTGTGCTGATGGTCACCGGGAAAGACATGCTTAGGTCTGGCTGAGAGCAGAGGTGGCACTGCCCTGTGAGGACCCATGCCGAACGTCCAGCCAAGGCCAGTGAGTGCAAGTTGTGGATGCCCGGGAGGAAGATACCGAGTGGAGCCAGGGCAGCCTGCCTCAGTTGTGCAGGCTGCCCAAGGAGTGTTGAGGGGATGTTCCCAGATGCGACTGCTGCGCAGCCTTTCCTACAGGGAGGAGCGGCTCCTGAGCCCTCCTCCAATCACTGGGTGTCAGACAGGACTCTGGCCAGTTAGGTGGGCTAAGGAAGGTTCTGCTCTGTCCATGTGGAGACAAGAAGAGGTCCTGATTGTATCTGTGACGGAAATAGTTAAGGGGTACCTTTGGCTCTGCAGAATTAGGGGAAAATGTGGTCAGGGAACTCTTGAGTAACTCAAGTCTGTTTGTGTGTTTGTTTTCCCAGCACATGATTAAATACCGGTACATACCGTTCACACATGGAAAGAGGAGGTACAAAGGGAAGGAGGACGTGGGCAAGACGTTTGCTAGTTAGACGCTGGACTGGGATCTGTCACGCGTGCAAGAGCGGTTTTGAGCCACTGTAACAATGCCTTTTTCTTCACATAAAGTAGTTGATTACGAGGGAGTGGAATTTTCTTTTTAAAAGGAGCCTCAATGATTTGTAATTGAAATATCAGGTTCTTGAAGAAACTGGCATTTAAACCAAATTGCATTGATCTTTTTTTCAGTGATGTTCATGTTTCAATCCGACAGAGGTGTATGAACTGCAGGCCTGAGCGGCTAGGTGGGTGGCAACCTGTGGGGAAGGGAGGATGGAGGGCTGCCGCGGGGTGGGGCTACTTCCCTGCCGTGCTGAGCTCACCGCTCTGTGCCAGCCCAATTCCTGGGCGTGGGTGGACGTGAGACATGAGAGTGGCTTTCGAGTGACGGTGGTTCTCCTGCCAGTGTCTGCATTTCATCTCATTGGAGATGCTTCAAGCTGACCCCTATCATGACTCAAAACTTTGTTCTTAACTACCATGATTGCTTTTGAGGGCCTGGAATTATAAATATATATATTATATTTTAATTGTTTGAGATTATTTTGACATATTTCTTTGATACGTGAAGCTTGTTTTGCCTTTGATTAATTTAAATTTGTTCTCATGCAAATTTGAATGGTTAAAAAACCATCAAAACCGACCAGAGCAGGCCAGGTCTGTGGGTTTAACACACGGAGTTTTCACTATCTTGGGGGGAAAATAGAACCTACAGCATGTCAACTTTTTGATGTGATAAAATACTCAAGCATCTGACTTTTTCGTCCTGCCTTCAGTATTAAAGGTTGACCCCTGGCTTGTGCAGTCTCTCCCAGCCTTGCCTTCTGTAGGGGGGAGGGGAAGGAAGGGAAGGGCCAGTCTTGCCATTAGCCACCCAAAGGACACTTTAGGCCTGGTCTGCACAGATGCCCCGCTCTTGGGGGAGGGCCACATCTCCCGCCCACTACACTTTTAGACATGAAATCCTGTCAGTGGTATAATTTTCATTTGCCAACTTTTGGGCATCTAAAATTAAGCTCTTTCTCTACAAGTCCATATTCGATTCTTTTGTACATCTGACCTGACATTCTAAGTTGATAACTATGTGGAGTGCTCTGGAACTTTTGGTTTTCATTTCCCATGTCAGTCAGTGCTGAGGCTGAAATGTGATGGAAAACTGCACCTGAGTGGAGTGGTGTGAATTTAGGACCAAGCAGGGTAGTTATATATGCCCATGCTCTGGTTTCTCCCACAGGGACTCTCGGGAACACCAGAGCCGTGGTGCTGCTGGTGGGCCTCAGCCTTGCCTTCTGCAGAGGCCCAACCCATGTCTCATGAAACCCTCTGGGTCTTCTTACTTGCCAGCATGTCCGTGGAATTTGTTTCTTAGGGGGCACCAAGCTGTCTGAGCAAGCTAATTCCTGGAAATACCCAGAGGCAAGGGCAGGCTGGGGGCAAGCTGAGTGGCGGGTCGTGCAGTGACCTGGGGTAAGCAGGTGCCACTGCCCCTGTGGGCCTCCTTGGTCAGACCTCCCCAAACGTGCACGCGACAGGTAATGCCTCAAGCGGGCTCTGCCACCAGTGCAGACCCTCCTCACCCACCTTCTGGCTAGTATGAAGATCCGGATTTCTCCAGACAGGAAGCAAGCCAAGTGTGCGCCCAGTGTCTCAGGCAGGGTGCTGGGGATGGCTTACTCGGCTCCCAGCATGGGGCCGTAGGACCACACTGTGCCGCTCCTGTGCCAGGGCTCAGCGCTGCCTGTGTGGCCCCACCAAGGAACCCTCTGAAGACATGAATAAAATCCTCTCTGGCCAACCTCTGATTAGTTCTCAGATGCGTGACTCAAGGAGGGGAGGAGGGGACCTTAGACCGTCTTAACAAGACTCTGGAGAAAGACAGTGCGCCAAACAGCAGCCTGGGTGTGGGGCCCCCTTGTGGACTTCTACGTGACAAAAAACAAAAGTTGTGAGAATTTTACCATTTCTATGCAAGTACAGTTAACCCTGAAGACCGTTTACTCCACCTCATCTGGGGCTGGGCTGTCAGCGGTAGTGCCGTAGGTAGACCAGCTTCTGGGGAGAGAACTTCTCCCTGCAGAGGGGGCACTCTGTCTGTGGGGGAGAGGAAAGTCACGTCAGCTGAGGTGGCCCAAGAGGGGCACACAAACAAGGCCACGTCCCTACTTTTCAACCATGAAACAGCTTGCCCAGTGCTAGCTCCAATGCTGTGCCCAAGCTTTGGACACACGGGGCCTCTCCAGGGCTTTTCCCATGTCTGTGTCCAGCATGCTCAGCCAGATGCTGTGGAGGGTTTCTGTCTCATCAGTCATACATGTCAGGCTGTGTGTGCTATTCTGATCCATTCTGACCCTCAGGTCCCACTATGAATGGACCTTAGACCCTCCTCTCAGGACGTACTGGACTTGCTGGGTGCTCAGGAATCTGCCCACACCGTGGCACTGCCGACTCATGTTTCTGGATGCTTGTGCCTTCATCCTGCTGCTAAGCCCAGGATGGCCACTCTGGAACTTAGGCAGGGCTGTAGCCACTGAAAACCCCCCTTACAATGGTGGCCAGAGCTCCTGGCAGGACAGTGGATCACCAGGAAAGCATTTCTTTGGAGGTCAGCTGCTTTGAGAGGGCACCATGTGTGCCCTGGGCATCTGACCTGATAACAGCGGACACGGGCACAGGCACGGGGAGGGTCTGGCATATGTAAACTGCACCAGAGTTCCGTACACCCAAGACTCTGGAGGCAGCCTGGGCCCGGTCTCTGCACCCGGCACAAGCATTTGGCTTGTACTTTCAGCCAGGCCTCAACAGGCAGGACTTGGACCTTTAGCCCCAAACAACAGCCCCATAGCAGACCTACTTCAAGAAGATGCCCGCCCCGCCACCCTCAACGTGGGCTGCAGGCCTGGGTGGCACGCACCTTGGTGTTACACCACTCAGTGATGCACTCCCAGCAGAAGAGGTGGCCGCAGGGTGTGGCTGTGGAGTGCCTGCGCTCCTCCAGGCACAGAGTGCAGAGAGGGGTTCTGGAAACAGCTCGCTCCTCCAGGGAACCTCTGGGAAGGGGGACATTCGGGCGAGTCCTTCCACAGCTGCTGTGCTGAGCCCCCTGCCGCTGTCCTCCCCCGGCGGGCCCCCATCCTCACTCACCTGCGGTGGGACAGGTGGCGGTGCAGCTTCCACTCCTTCCTGGCACGCTGCCTCTGCCGGAAGCTGTACAGCTGCAGCCCCACCCAGAGTGCCAGGTGTGCTAGGGAGATGAGACCTAGCAGCCTGTAGCCTGCTTGGGCCCTCGGGTCTTCTCGGGGCAGGTGGCGAGTGCGGAGCTGTCAGGGAAGGTGGCCCCACGCCCATCAGGACCCCAAGGGGACCTGGCCTCTGTCTGCTGGATGTCCTGCATTCAGTGACCCAGGCCTCTACCTGGCCTGAGAGGTTTGGACCTGAGAGGTCAGGTTTGGAGTCCAAGGGGAAGCTTTAGGTAAAGGCCATGAAGCTGGATGGGGAATCTTCCCAGGGGAGGATTCTGAGGTCATCCGATAACCACCTCTCAGGGAGAAGGCTTGTGGCCCCTCTGGGGATTCTGCGACTGTGTCCCCATCTCTCCCAGTTGGTGACTGAAGCGAGAGCCTCTTAATGCTCTACCTCCCGTGCCCCTCCCACTGCCAGCTGGACTCTACTCTCCATGGAGGAGCCCTGTGCTCACTCTTGAGTCTGGCCCACAGACACTCAGCAAGCTCTCTGGGCAAGAGGACTGTGCCAAAACACTGCCATGGTGTCTGATCACTGAAGACAGATCAGACACAGTTCCATGACAGGACTGCTGGTGCTCCACTGGTTGTGAAGTTGGGTTGGCCTGACAGCAGAGGGGCCGGGGCAGGGAGACACGGTGGGACCACAGGGAAGCTTTGGGGACAGATCAGCTAGGAGACGAGGCTGACAGCTAGGTGGGCCGACCATGGGGCCAGGCGGGGGGGGGGGGCCTGGCTGGCCGTGCTAAGGCCATGTAGTCACCATGGGTCACAGCTGGAAAAGTACCCCAGACCATGATCTAAGACCCTGCTTCTCTGTCAGGACTGCTGGACAGTGGTGGGCAAAGACCCTGGGGGGTATGGTAGGAAGAGGGAAAAAGAAAGGAGCTAGCTAGGGCCCACACTTGGCTCCATGGCAGCTAAGATGCCCATTCCACAAAGCAGAGAAATGGCACAGTCACAGGCTTGTACAGGGCCGCCATGAGGTGGACCAGTCCCCTTGGTCAGTGCCCACACCCCCACTTCCTGGCCACCCCAGGTGCTAGCTGCAGGAAGAAAGATTTTCTCTACTCCTGAACAAATGGACTATTTTCTAAGAATTGCAGTCTCAGCATTTAAAGTCACCAGCATGGGCCTGCAAAGGCCAGGGCTGCACAGAACAGAGACCCACCATATCCCCCGCCCTGCACTGCTACTTACGTAAGTGACACCCACAAGCCTTTTAGCTAGGTGGTAGAAAGCACCATGGATGTAAAACCAGGCAACATGGAACCTATGTAGGTAGGCGAGGCCTTGTCTGAAGATGGAGACTGTGCGCTGAAGCGTCTTCCTCTGTTGTTCAGTCAGGGAAGTTGCACGGCGACGCACCCAGCGCCGCGCTCCTGACCGGCTGCGCCCACTGGGCACCAGGCTGCCCTGTGAGGGCCGTGCACCGTCGCCATCCGCCTGAAGTTCCTGCTCCACGGGCAGCAGGGCCTTGTCCAGCAGGTAGGGCAGTACTGCATGCAGTGCCACCAGCACTCCACGGCGGAGCCTGGAGGGCACACGCCGCTGGGACCCATCCACCTGGACGATGCCAACGTACTCCTCCCCAAGGGTCTGGTAGCCTGAGAGGTTGAGGATGGTGCACACTGATGAGGGCCTGACAAAGGGGTGGGCTCCTGGGCCAGCCTGCTCTTAGCCCCAGACCCTAGCCCTGCCCATCATCCTTGCCCCTCCCCTCCCCCCCAGCCTGTCACCCTTGAGCCTTGCCTAAGGCAAAGATGACCTTCTGTTGCTAAGCTGTGGCCTCATCAAGCCCCGAGGCTGGCTGATTCACTCCTTGACTCTGGCTCAGGATCCCCCTCCCGCTGTTGCTGGTTTTTCCTTGTAGTCTGTGTTCAGCCCCGCTTACTGTCCCTCCTCCATCATCCCCTGCCCAAAGTGATGATCCAGTCCACCTCCCACATACTGATGTAGACTCCACTTACAGCCCAGTCTGGGCCTGGCTCATTCCCGAATCCCAAGTTTCCAAGTCAGTGCCAGCCTGACATTACCATGTGGTGTTGGATAAACACCTCCAAACTCACCCCTGCCAAGAGCTTGCTCCAAGCCCCACCAAGGAAAGTCTGCTTCCCTACCTCCTATCTCTGCTGAAGGTGAAGAGTGGGGGACCTCTTGTGCCCGGTGCATTCTGGACTCTTCTTCCCCATGTGTCTCACCAAGACCCAGGCTCATACAGCCTCTGTGTAAGTGTCCTTCTTCCACCTCTGCCCCCATGGTCTGGTTATAGCTAGCAGTCAGCCCCTCTCCTGCCTGTGACCTACAATGACCCACACCTTGTAGGGGGAAAACCCAATCTGCCAAGGCAGCCTCCATTTCAGCGCTGTGCTCCCGTTGCTTGCTCTGCTTTCAAGAGAACAGGCCCTTTACCCTGAAGGGCTCACGGCCTCCCAGGAGGCCACTTGATGTTTATCATGTCTCCAACAAGAATATGTTCCTGTTCCATGGTGACCCTTCTTGTGTAGGACTGGCTGACACCTCGCAGGTGCGCGCCAAGCCCGAGACCTTCCTTTGGTGTCTCCTCTAAAGGATGGCCACCAGTCTTGGCCCACTGCCAGCACCATGACCCGCTCCTGTCGCCACGATCAGCCAATGAGAAACTGGTACCAGGATGGAGGTCCCCGGGAAATGAACACTACTGAGGGTGGCATCCAGCGCGGCCTGAGGCTTCTCCCGGCCTCCCTGCCCCCTCCCACTACCCCGTCTTCTGACTTGGGCCTGCTGAGCACGGCTACCTGCCACTGTGGTGAGGCCGAAGTAGGCGACGTCCGAAAGCAGCTCGAGCTCCTTCCTCCACTCCAGCCACTTCTTTGCACCTGCGAGGAGAAGCGCGTTACTCGGGGGGAGGCGGCGGGCTCCTCTGGACTCGGCGGGCACGGCCGTCCCGAGCAGCGCGGGCGGCCCGCAGGCCG